GAGAGGGAGAGAGAGAGAGAGAGAGAGAGAGAGAGAGAGAGAGAGAGAGAGAGAGAGAGAGAGAGAGAGAGAGAGAGAGAAGGGGGGGGCACGTGCTACATCGTTTCTTCTTTGCCTCGTGCCTTCCAGGAAATGTTCCAAGATGCACACTCGACATTATTGTTCCCATGTCAATGCTACTCCCGCAACTGCCAAGCAGATCGAATGCTGATTGTTTCATTCATACAATGCAAAACCTGCTTCACATCAGTGGCACTCTTATAGTTGGAGGCGACTTCCAACGACTTCCCTGGGGCAATCATCAATGATATCATCGGAGCCCACCAAACTGAGACTCACCCACACGCGCATGCACTTGCACACATAAGAGTTTTGGAGCCGACCAAACTGAGACTCACCCACACGCGCATGCACTTGCACACACACAGTCAAAACTCGACAAGCAAGCACGGGGCATACATGCAAGATCGCTTTCTCACAAACATATTCAGATAACATAGCAAACAAAAGTCTGAATCGGAATCTTAAGCAAAAATGTCAACGGGACAACGGACAGGATTTTCTCATAAAAGTTCACAGTTCTTGCACAGCACAAAAAAAAAACGATGCTGCAAAGGTAGCGGCGTCCTAAACAAAACACTCACAGATAAAGAAACAAAAAAAGTTCAGTGGTATTCCCTCCTATTTCTTGCATGCGGATTTCTGTCTGCTCTCAGGCTCTTCTTTTTGTTTTTGTGAAAGAAGCAGCATATGATAGGGCAGTTCCCTATGCTTTTTCTTTCTTTTGTGCTTTTTAGTTTTCTGTTTTTGCGGGCGAAGCCACAACGGGTCATCTAGTCTTCATATGAAACTGCAAATTCACGAGTACCTGGGGATAATAAAAGGGCCTTTACCCGATGTAGGCCTCCGACCTTGTAAAAGTAAAGCAGCATGGGCCTTGTAAAAGTAAAGCTGCGTGAAAGGGTATCTCGCCAGAGCTCAGAAACGTGAAAGCAGGTCAAAGGTCAAGTTCTCTATCAACAGGCACATCTAAATCTAAAGCAAAAGGCATTGTTAAAGGACTTACCTGTTCACCAGGAGATGTGCATCTGATGTCTGTTCGGGTAAGGGTGTGTCTGTACGTGCAGACAGTGTACCTGTTCGTGCAAAGGAAAATGTCTGTTCAGGCAGTAAATGTGTCTGTTYGTCYAGAGTTGTGCCTGTCCRAAAGTAAAGTCAATAGGTACAGTCCCARTTCTGGTCTAAGTCAAGGGGACAGTCCAGATCCAGACTTTGAAGTCCAAATCTAGGCCGAGAKGCCTCARCAGCAGTTGAACCTCATTGGGACTATACTGGGACACATGCAATGCAAGGTCTGGGACAAAGGAAAGGCTGAACTAAGCCAATGCARACCCAGCGAGGAGTGGCCAGCGCTATAAAGGAAGCTGCCTGCCTCATTCCTCGCCAGATCTCCACTGGCTATTTCTGCGTGGAAGTGCTGGTGCACTTGTGYRCTAAGTCAGGAGGAGCAGCGCTGGAGGATGAAGATGCGCTGAGTGAGGGAAGAAGCCTGTACGCTGGAAGTGCTGCAGCCATAGCTGCCCAGCGAGTTAGTACTAGTAGTAGAGGGTTAGTATTTAGCCATGAGTAGTATTCAGAGTAGATCCTCATGAATGAAGAGTGTGTATGCATCATAGGAGGGAGGAAGAGACTGAGACAGGGAGTGTTCATTCAAGGTTTGATTATGGAAGATACTTACCTGAGTTGGATGTGAACTGCAGAGGTGGCGCTGAAGAGTTGTGACCACATTGATGACTTGGAGACAGTCTGCAGGAGTAGCGCTGATGCCTTGGAAGTCRTATTGATGARTTGACAAGAGATTTGTGTTGCGCTGATGAGCGCTGGACTCAGGGGAACTTTGAAACACTTTGTAATCATATTTCTGATAATATAAGCTGTGAAACTCGGTCCTCTTCTCATCCACCTTTGTCTATGACTGGAGACTATTGATCATTGTGTGTGAGGATGATGCATGACATGTACACACTCGCGTGAGATGGTCCCCAGGACCCATGCAATTTTTGGTATCGCAGCAGATGCTCGCTACACTCATAGCGCTTGCATGATCAAGGCCGGCGAGGAGAAGTGGTGATGGAGGAATAGTGAAGGAGGAAGAGAAGAGGTGTTGGATGGTGGGGGAAGCAGGCCGAAGAAGAAGTGGCAAAGTCTACTTACCTGGAGCGTGCAGAGCGTTGTGGAGCATCATCGGCGGTATCTTCAAGAAGAGGGAAGCACCTCCTTTCCCTGAACCTGCATGYATGTGTGTGTCCCCTACCTTTTCTCTCTCTGACCCTCTGAAGGTGACTGCTGCTGGTCTGGAGTCGAAGTCTGGATCTCTAGAGTCTAGATGGTCCAAGTGCGATGTGTCAGGGCCTGGTCACACTAGATTAGGCGGTCCAGTGTTCTGCGAGTAGGAGTAGACTTCTCTCCTACTCCTCCCGATAGGCAGGCTGGGTATCGTCATCAGGGACTAAGGATTGATGTGGGAAGTGGCTATATGCCACGTCAGATTGCATGTACCAGGCAATGCAGACATAATGATAAGCATGTACAGGGCCAGTTAAGCCCGAAAGAAAGAAAGTATTGAGCAAAGTAATTCTGCCGGGTTGACTATTTGCATCTGATCTTCTGCGCTGTACTCCATACCTGCATCAGACACCCAGCAAGTTAGTATAAAGAAAAGAAAATATATATATATCGTCACAAACAGAACTGCCCGGTAAAACCGTAGGCAGAGAGAGAGAAGAGGACAACAAACGAGGGGCTGTGACAAACTGTTTCGTCGGAGTTTCACCGACTCATCAGGAGGCTGAATATATCAAGGGGAAACAAGACAGCAGAAACACATTGCCAAAGGTTTGATTCAGAGAGCCAGCCAGCATACCAAAAAAGGAAAGAGTATGCATATCCAAGTCGTAAGGTTGTCTTAGCTTGATCTATTGTACCTTCTACAATCAAAAAAAAAAAAAAAAAAGAGTACAATACTCCATTCACCGCAGATCAAGAATTGAGTCTGTAAGTGGGATAGTATCTTGGTGATCCGGCGGAGGGTCCCCTGTGCCGGTAGTCATCATGGATGACTATCCCATCCAGGGCCTGTTGGCCCTTTCTGTCTTGATGGGGCCGCTGTTCCGGCTCATGTTCCCGTTGGGATTCGGACGTGTGTGCTCGTCCCGCACGTTTATGCAGTCAGGGACAGTGAAACCAGGCCCCACACCTGCGGAGCAAGCAGAAATTGACCGCAGGCTGGCAGAGAAGAAAAAGGAAAAGGAAGCCAAAAAGAAACAGAAAGAAGAAGAAGTTAAGAGGAAGATGAACGAGAAGATGGAGAAAGAATTGGAAGAAGAATTGAAGAGTATAGAAGAAAGTGAAGTAGAGGAACAGGAGGAGGAAACATTGCAGCGTCATCATCACCTTGATATACCTGAAAGTAGCAAGTCTGCAGCGGCCCGGCTCCCAGTCGAACCACTGGACTGGGTTGGTCATTTCTATTACTCCAGTGAGCCGCTAAAGGAAACTGAAGAAGAAAAGCAGGCGTTCGTCACAAAGATGGCCACGGTAACAGACCCAGTCGAACGCAACCTGATGATAGCAGAGAAACAGGCGGAGCTGAATAGCAGAATGTTAACAGTGAGGAGGCAAGAAATAGAAGAAAGAAAGAGGCTTCAGGCAGAAGGAGAAAAACTGCAAAGGGCTCTAGAAGCACAAAAAGAACAACCCGCTGAAACAGAAGACCAACTCGCCCTACTAAGAGCGGCAGTCCTCAACACTAGACTAGATATGAGCCTAATACATCAGGCCCTACAAAGAGTTGAAACACATCGGGTTGAATTCGAAAATGTCTGGAATGAATTCTTGGAAAAGTCAGCAAAGGACGTTGACCATCATGTTCATACTTACATCAAGGCCTTGGATGACCACGTTACTAAGACCTTTACCCCGGAAGTCATAGAAAAGATTGTAAAGGGAGCTAGAGGCAACGGAGGAGATGGAGATGACGATGGCGATGATGACAGGAAAGGGAAGAAGAAGATTGGGGATCCAAAAGACAAACTTCCTCAGGAGACCGGCCGTGGACCTATAATGAAAGAAAGAAGAAAGCGTTCTGCATTGGGCCGCAGCAATTGAAACCTATGTGTATGGGCAGCGAATCCCATACTAGGACAGGGTATTAATGGCAACTTCATGCATGGGAGGCGACGCCATGAGCTTCGCCATCTCGGAGCAAAAGGAGGCGGGATGCAGCTCTATGGTCGAGTATTCGCAGCAAACGCGAATTGAAGATTTTCTTAAGTTGATAAGAGAAAGATTCGAGGATAAGAATTTAGCAAGACGCTCTGAAATGCTAATTCTCAGCCTTCCTGATAGAAAATGGAAGAGTACTTCTGCATTAAAGGCAACTATGGATGAATTGTTGCAATGCCCTGATCATGGATTAACGCCAGCCCAAATCTTAAATACTTTTGCACGAGCCCTCCCGGATCCCCTGAGAACACAACTCTATCCCCGCACCAAGGAGGAGGGGATGACATATGAGAAGTTCGGCAAGATCGCAATAGATCACGCCGGCTTCCTCGCCGAGGCGAACTATTGCCATTACTGGAAAGATCTGCAAGCGGGAAAGAAATGGCAAAACCGCACTATCTCAGGGTCCATACCTGGGAAGGACAGTCTCCTTCTAACCTTCGAGGAAGGAGGCGCCGAGACCATCTCCTGGGATCAGGTAGACTATGGTCTCGATGAACCCAACAGACCGGTAGCTCAGGAGGGGAGTTACGCGGCTGTTGCAGCCCGCGGGGGAGGGCGTCAAGGAAGAGGGCGTGGCCGAGGAAGAGGTCGCGRCCGTGGTGGACGAGGATTCGGCACCCAGAGGGGTGGTGGTGAAGGAAGCCACTACGTGGGAGGAAGGGGAAATGGTCCCTCGCAAGGTGGCCGTGGTTCTTACTCCACCTGGGGTAGAGGAAGAGGCTCATGGTATAACAAGTGGGATAAACCGTACCCACCACATCCAGGTCTATCCGAAGGGGAGCCTTGGAAAGAATTGGGAATCACAGAAAAAGTTTGGGCCGAAAGGAAGAAGGCAGCCCAATGCCTCAAATGTGGGGACCCCGACCACATTGTCCCCTATTGCCCTAACTATAGGGGGGCAAAAGGGAACGGCCAGTAGAGGTGCCAGTTGCCTCTATCGGGGCTTCGAATGTTGGAAAAATCAGAATCCTCCCATTCGAAGGCGCCAATGGCAGAAACTGAAGAGGAAGGAAGTCCCCATCTAGTGCACTGTCCAGAGGTGGCAAACGTATGCATCTCTCTAGATGGATCCCTCGCTGGCGTGGGTGATGAGTTGGCCGCTCGTTGCCGTGCCTAGACTGAAATGCGAAAAAGGAAACGACAGCTAATAATTGCAGATCTGGAAATAAATCGAGTGAGAGTAGGAGGTATGATAGACAGCGGGTCTACACGCAACTATATTAGTAAAAAAGGTTTGTAGAAACTGCGTCTTGGACTTCAAATTAAGAAGTTAAACGAGCCCATTGTGAGTACGTTAGCTAATAGAAGTGAAACAGTCATGGATCGATACGTCGAGGGGGTTCAAGTATACTTTCGGCTCGAGGCAGAGGGGAAGGTGGAACGTGTTCTCCACTCTCTCACCTTCTTGGTGAAGGATAACTTGCCCTTTGATGTGTTGCTAGGAATGGATTGGGGTGAGGCTGCAAATGCGGATCTGAAGTTGAGAGAGCATGAATGTTGGCTCCCAAGTCCGCAAGGAGGTAAGAAGAAAATTCGCCTCTATCATGAATCCGGAAAGGAAAGCAGCCTAGCTCACTGTTGCATGAGTGCCCCAGCGTTCGCTCGCCATATTAAGAAACATAACTTGTATGACCAAGTCTTCATTGCATATGTGCGCCCAGTAAAGGAAGGAGAAACTAAGGAAGAAGTCAGGTCTCAGAAGATTGAGAGGATCCTGAAAGAGTTTGCGGATGTGGCTGAAGCCCCAAGCGGTGTGGTGGAAAGACCAATCCGCCACCGCATTGATATCATTCCAGGGAGAGCGCCCCCGAAGGGGCCTATCTATCATATGTCGCCCTTGAATTGGATGGATTGCGAACCGAACTCAATGAGTTGCTGAAAAATGGTTGGATAAGACCTAGCTCCTCACCCTATGGTGCGCCTGTGCTCTTTGTACCTAAGAAGGATGGCGGCATTCGAATGTGTATAGACTATAGAAGATTAAATGATATAACCGTAAAGAATGCCGAACCATTACCGCGAATAGACGATTTCCTGGATCACGTGCAGGGTTGCAAAATCTTTTCAAAGATTGATCTGAAATCCGGCTACCATCAGATTGAGGTTGAGCCGGAAGACCAACACAAGACTGCCTTCAGGACAAGGTATGGGCACTATGAGTTTATAGTTCTGCCCTTTGGTCTCACGAATGCCCCTGCCACTTTCCAAAGAACAATGAACGAACTATTTCGTGAGTGGCTTGACAAGTTTGTTGTGATTTATCTAGATGATATTTTAATTTTTAGCAAAGATGAAAAGGAACATGCTGAGCACCTTCGACTTGTGCTAAACAAATTACGAGAAGCAAAACTCAAGATAAACCCAAATAAGTGTGAATGGGCTAAGCGTTAGGTATTGTACCTCGGACATGATTGATGGAGATGGGGTCAAACCGGAAGACGCCAAAATAGCAGCAATCAGAGATTGGCCGAACCCCCGCACTTTAACTGAGTTGCGGTTGTTCCTTGGGTTAGCCAACTACTATCGCAAGTTTGTAAAGCACTTTACGATAATAGCTGCTCCCCTTCGCAAGTTGCTTAAGAAAGAGGTAATCTGGAAATGGGATTCAAACTGCACGATGTCTTTCAAGCGTATGAAGAAGTGTTTGATCAATTACCCGGTTTTGAAAGTGGTCGACCCTTCATTACCTTTCGTAGTCACGACCGACGCTAGTCAATATGGTATAGGTGTTGTACTCCAGCAAGACAACGGGCATGGATACAGGTCTATGGAGTTTATGTCTTGCCGGTTGCCTAATGAGAAAGTAGCCGCCTCGACGTATGAAAGAGAGTTGTATGCTCTTCGTGAGGCTCTCAATCATTGGCGACACTATCTTCTCGGAAGGCATTTTAAGGTATACTCCGACCATGAAACGCTTCGCTGGCTTAAAACGCAAGCTCGAATGACACATAAGTTAACAAAATGGGCTGCGGAGATTGATATGTTTGATTTTGAATTGAAGCCAGTAAAGGGTAAGTATAACGTTGTTGCTGATGCACTAAGTCGTAGATCAGACTTTTTCGGTGTTATTGTGACTTATTTAGATGTGGGTGCTGACCTACAAGGAAGGATTAGGAATGCGTATCCCTCTGATCCTGTTTATGGAACCATGATTAAGCTAGTGTAAGAAAAGTCAGCAGAGTTTCCCGATCATAAAGTAGCTCAGGGTCTATAGTTTGAACTGATGTGAACGATAGGCTGTGTATACCCAATAATGAAGAGATCAGAAGTATGATCTTGGGGGAATGCCATGATACAGAAGGCCATTTTGGGTGGAAAAAGACCTATGGGACTTTATTGCGTTCCTACACCTGGCCTCGGATGAAAGCAGACTGTATCGCGTATGTGCAAGGTTGTCAGGTATGCCAACGAAATAAAAGCACCACGCAATTGCCCCTTGGGCTACTTAAGCCCTTGCCTATCCCTACAGGCCCTAGAGACTCTGTCTCTATAGATTTCATGGATACTAAGGTGAAAAGCAGAAGTGGGAAAACGCAAGTAATGGTCATAGTGGATAGGTTCACGAAGTATGCTGTTTTTATAGCTTTGCCTTCGGAAGCAAAGACTCATTTGGTAATTCGGGAGTTCTTTAACCATTGGGTAAAAGACTTTCCACATCCCTTAACTATCGTGAGTGACAGAGACACCAGGTTCACAAGTGAACAGTGGCAGCAACTGATGAATGTATATGGCTCTAAGTTGACTATGTCATCAGGCAGGCATCCTGAGACTAATAGCCAGACTGAGCAGATGAACAAGATTTTGCAGCAAACTCTACGCATGTACATCCGTCCCGATCAGATTGATTGGGATGAACATCTGCCTAAAGTTGCTAGTGCCTACAATAACTCTGTACACCTATCTACGTGTAAGACTCCTATGGAGTTACATCTGGGATGGCGTCCACGTGGACCCATTGATCGATTGAACCCGGATCAAGTACATAAGCTTCCTATAGGGACTAGTGAATTTGCAGTCCAGTATCAGAAAGACATTGAGAAGGTAAAAGAAAACATACTCCAAGCACAACATCAGATGATTTAACAGGCAAATAAACACAGAAGACCGTCTCAATTTGCTGTAGGAGATTTGGTTTGGGTGAAGTCTAAAGAGTTTGCTCCTGAAGAAAACATCTCTCAGAAGCTTCTACCCACCTACAGGGGACCTTGGCAAGTTCTAGATGTAATTGGAGATGTGGATGGTCCTTCATATGTCATTGAGATTCCTCCACATCTACGTACGTATCCAGTGTTCCATGCGTCCAAGCTCTTACCTTGTGTTACAAATGAGCTCTTTCCAAGTCGCCGATCAGCGATACCTCCAAGTATGGATGGGAAGTTTGACGTGGATAAAATTGTTGCAGAAAGTACTTACCACACTGGACGAAGAGGCAGACCACAACGACAATATAAGGTGAGGTTTGCATACCAGGATCCTAGTGAAGATCGTTGGTTTACAAGAGAGGAACTGTTAGATTCTGCACCTCATATTGTGTCTGCATACGAAAGCGCAAAGAGAGGGATTCATATCCTTGATAGGTAAATGATTCTCAGAGGACTTCGAAAGTAGGCCGGCGAGAGTAAAAGGGCCTTTACCCGATGTAGGCCTCTGACCTTGTAAAAGTAAAGCAGCATGGGCCTTGTAAAAGTAAAGCTGCGTGAAAGGGTATCTCGCCAGAGCTCAGAAACGTGAAAGCAGGTCGAAGGTCAAGTTCTCTATCAACAGGCACATCTAAATCTAAAGCAAAAGGCATTGTTAAAGGACTTACCTGTTCACCAGGAGATGTGCATCTGATGTNATGTGTGTACGGGATCTGGGTATCGTCTATGCATGACCCAGACCCCACCATCTCATGATTGTATGTGTGTGGAGTGATGCCACCTAGGTCAGTCTATGTGAGTCAGTCTATGTGAGTCAGTTCGTTATCAGACTTCCGCTGCATAAATGCTCATCCTATATTGGTTGATCTTTGCTTCTGCCCATAGTGAAGGAGGAAGAGAAGAGGTGTTRGATGGTGGGGGAAGCAGGCCGAAGAAGAAGTGGCAAAGTCTACTTACCTGGAGCRTGCGGAGCGTCGTGGAGCATCATCGGCGGTATCTTCAAGAAGAGRGAAGCACCTCCTTTCCCTGAACCTGCATGTATGTGTGTGTCCCCTACCTTTTCTCTCTCTGACCCTCTGAAGSTGACTGCTGCTGGTCTGGAGTCKAAGTCTGGATCTCTAGAGTCTAGATGGTCCAAGTGCGATGTGTCAGGGCCTGGTCACACTAGATTAGGCGGTCCAGTGTTCTGCGAGTAGGAGTAGACTTCTCTCCTACTCCTCCCGATAGGCAGGCTGGGTATCGTCATCAGGGACTAAGGATTGATGTGGGAAGTGGCTATATGCCACGTCAGATTGCATGTACCAGGCAATGCAGACATAATGATAAGCATGTACAGGGCCAGTTAAGCCCGAAAGAAAGAAAGTATTGAGCAAAGTAATTCTGCCGGGTTGACTATTTGCATCTGATCTTCTGCGCTGTACTCCATACCTGCATCAGACACCCAGCAAGTTAGTATAAAGAAAAGAAAATATATATATATCGTCACAAACAGAACTGCCCGGTAAAACCGTAGGCAGAGAGAGAGAAGAGGACAACAAACGAGGGGCTGTGACAAACTGTTTCGTCGGAGTTTCACCGACTCATCAGGAGGCTGAATATATCAAGGGGAAACAAGACAGCAGAAACACATTGCCAAAGGTTTGATTCAGAGAGCCAGCCAGCATACCAAAAAAGGAAAGAGTATGCATATCCAAGTCGTAAGGTTGTCTTAGCTTGATCTATTGTACCTTCTACAATCAAAAAAAAAAAAAAAAAAGAGTACAATACTCCATTCACCGCAGATCAAGAATTGAGTCTGTAAGTGGGATAGTATCTTGGTGATCCGGCGGAGGGTCCCCTGTGCCGGTAGTCATCATGGATGACTATCCCATCCAGGGCCTGTTGGCCCTTTCTGTCTTGATGGGGCCGCTGTTCCGGCTCATGTTCCCGTTGGGATTCGGACGTGTGTGCTCGTCCCGCACGTTTATGCAGTCAGGGACAGTGAAACCAGGCCCCACACCTGCGGAGCAAGCAGAAATTGACCGCAGGCTGGCAGAGAAGAAAAAGGAAAAGGAAGCCAAAAAGAAACAGAAAGAAGAAGAAGTTAAGAGGAAGATGAACGAGAAGATGGAGAAAGAATTGGAAGAAGAATTGAAGAGTATAGAAGAAAGTGAAGTAGAGGAACAGGAGGAGGAAACATTGCAGCGTCATCATCACCTTGATATACCTGAAAGTAGCAAGTCTGCAGCGGCCCGGCTCCCAGTCGAACCACTGGACTGGGTTGGTCATTTCTATTACTCCAGTGAGCCGCTAAAGGAAACTGAAGAAGAAAAGCAGGCGTTCGTCACAAAGATGGCCACGGTAACAGACCCAGTCGAACGCAACCTGATGATAGCAGAGAAACAGGCGGAGCTGAATAGCAGAATGTTAACAGTGAGGAGGCAAGAAATAGAAGAAAGAAAGAGGCTTCAGGCAGAAGGAGAAAAACTGCAAAGGGCTCTAGAAGCACAAAAAGAACAACCCGCTGAAACAGAAGACCAACTCGCCCTACTAAGAGCGGCAGTCCTCAACACTAGACTAGATATGAGCCTAATACATCAGGCCCTACAAAGAGTTGAAACACATCGGGTTGAATTCGAAAATGTCTGGAATGAATTCTTGGAAAAGTCAGCAAAGGACGTTGACCATCATGTTCATACTTACATCAAGGCCTTGGATGACCACGTTACTAAGACCTTTACCCCGGAAGTCATAGAAAAGATTGTAAAGGGAGCTAGAGGCAACGGAGGAGATGGAGATGACGATGGCGATGATGACAGGAAAGGGAAGAAGAAGATTGGGGATCCAAAAGACAAACTTCCTCAGGAGACCGGCCGTGGACCTATAATGAAAGAAAGAAGAAAGCGTTCTGCATTGGGCCGCAGCAATTGAAACCTATGTGTATGGGCAGCGAATCCCATACTAGGACAGGGTATTAATGGCAACTTCATGCATGGGAGGCGACGCCATGAGCTTCGCCATCTCGGAGCAAAAGGAGGCGGGATGCAGCTCTATGGTCGAGTATTCGCAGCAAACGCGAATTGAAGATTTTCTTAAGTTGATAAGAGAAAGATTCGAGGATAAGAATTTAGCAAGACGCTCTGAAATGCTAATTCTCAGCCTTCCTGATAGAAAATGGAAGAGTACTTCTGCATTAAAGGCAACTATGGATGAATTGTTGCAATGCCCTGATCATGGATTAACGCCAGCCCAAATCTTAAATACTTTTGCACGAGCCCTCCCGGATCCCCTGAGAACACAACTCTATCCCCGCACCAAGGAGGAGGGGATGACATATGAGAAGTTCGGCAAGATCGCAATAGATCACGCCGGCTTCCTCGCCGAGGCGAACTATTGCCATTACTGGAAAGATCTGCAAGCGGGAAAGAAATGGCAAAACCGCACTATCTCAGGGTCCATACCTGGGAAGGACAGTCTCCTTCTAACCTTCGAGGAAGGAGGCGCCGAGACCATCTCCTGGGATCAGGTAGACTATGGTCTCGATGAACCCAACAGACCGGTAGCTCAGGAGGGGAGTTACGCGGCTGTTGCAGCCCGCGGGGGAGGGCGTCAAGGAAGAGGGCGTGGCCGAGGAAGAGGTCGCGRCCGTGGTGGACGAGGATTCGGCACCCAGAGGGGTGGTGGTGAAGGAAGCCACTACGTGGGAGGAAGGGGAAATGGTCCCTCGCAAGGTGGCCGTGGTTCTTACTCCACCTGGGGTAGAGGAAGAGGCTCATGGTATAACAAGTGGGATAAACCGTACCCACCACATCCAGGTCTATCCGAAGGGGAGCCTTGGAAAGAATTGGGAATCACAGAAAAAGTTTGGGCCGAAAGGAAGAAGGCAGCCCAATGCCTCAAATGTGGGGACCCCGACCACATTGTCCCCTATTGCCCTAACTATAGGGGGGCAAAAGGGAACGGCCAGTAGAGGTGCCAGTTGCCTCTATCGGGGCTTCGAATGTTGGAAAAATCAGAATCCTCCCATTCGAAGGCGCCAATGGCAGAAACTGAAGAGGAAGGAAGTCCCCATCTAGTGCACTGTCCAGAGGTGGCAAACGTATGCATCTCTCTAGATGGATCCCTCGCTGGCGTGGGTGATGAGTTGGCCGCTCGTTGCCGTGCCTAGACTGAAATGCGAAAAAGGAAACGACAGCTAATAATTGCAGATCTGGAAATAAATCGAGTGAGAGTAGGAGGTATGATAGACAGCGGGTCTACACGCAACTATATTAGTAAAAAAGGTTTGTAGAAACTGCGTCTTGGACTTCAAATTAAGAAGTTAAACGAGCCCATTGTGAGTACGTTAGCTAATAGAAGTGAAACAGTCATGGATCGATACGTCGAGGGGGTTCAAGTATACTTTCGGCTCGAGGCAGAGGGGAAGGTGGAACGTGTTCTCCACTCTCTCACCTTCTTGGTGAAGGATAACTTGCCCTTTGATGTGTTGCTAGGAATGGATTGGGGTGAGGCTGCAAATGCGGATCTGAAGTTGAGAGAGCATGAATGTTGGCTCCCAAGTCCGCAAGGAGGTAAGAAGAAAATTCGCCTCTATCATGAATCCGGAAAGGAAAGCAGCCTAGCTCACTGTTGCATGAGTGCCCCAGCGTTCGCTCGCCATATTAAGAAACATAACTTGTATGACCAAGTCTTCATTGCATATGTGCGCCCAGTAAAGGAAGGAGAAACTAAGGAAGAAGTCAGGTCTCAGAAGATTGAGAGGATCCTGAAAGAGTTTGCGGATGTGGCTGAAGCCCCAAGCGGTGTGGTGGAAAGACCAATCCGCCACCGCATTGATATCATTCCAGGGAGAGCGCCCCCGAAGGGGCCTATCTATCATATGTCGCCCTTGAATTGGATGGATTGCGAACCGAACTCAATGAGTTGCTGAAAAATGGTTGGATAAGACCTAGCTCCTCACCCTATGGTGCGCCTGTGCTCTTTGTACCTAAGAAGGATGGCGGCATTCGAATGTGTATAGACTATAGAAGATTAAATGATATAACCGTAAAGAATGCCGAACCATTACCGCGAATAGACGATTTCCTGGATCACGTGCAGGGTTGCAAAATCTTTTCAAAGATTGATCTGAAATCCGGCTACCATCAGATTGAGGTTGAGCCGGAAGACCAACACAAGACTGCCTTCAGGACAAGGTATGGGCACTATGAGTTTATAGTTCTGCCCTTTGGTCTCACGAATGCCCCTGCCACTTTCCAAAGAACAATGAACGAACTATTTCGTGAGTGGCTTGACAAGTTTGTTGTGATTTATCTAGATGATATTTTAATTTTTAGCAAAGATGAAAAGGAACATGCTGAGCACCTTCGACTTGTGCTAAACAAATTACGAGAAGCAAAACTCAAGATAAACCCAAATAAGTGTGAATGGGCTAAGCGTTAGGTATTGTACCTCGGACATGATTGATGGAGATGGGGTCAAACCGGAAGACGCCAAAATAGCAGCAATCAGAGATTGGCCGAACCCCCGCACTTTAACTGAGTTGCGGTTGTTCCTTGGGTTAGCCAACTACTATCGCAAGTTTGTAAAGCACTTTACGATAATAGCTGCTCCCCTTCGCAAGTTGCTTAAGAAAGAGGTAATCTGGAAATGGGATTCAAACTGCACGATGTCTTTCAAGCGTATGAAGAAGTGTTTGATCAATTACCCGGTTTTGAAAGTGGTCGACCCTTCATTACCTTTCGTAGTCACGACCGACGCTAGTCAATATGGTATAGGTGTTGTACTCCAGCAAGACAACGGGCATGGATACAGGTCTATGGAGTTTATGTCTTGCCGGTTGCCTAATGAGAAAGTAGCCGCCTCGACGTATGAAAGAGAGTTGTATGCTCTTCGTGAGGCTCTCAATCATTGGCGACACTATCTTCTCGGAAGGCATTTTAAGGTATACTCCGACCATGAAACGCTTCGCTGGCTTAAAACGCAAGCTCGAATGACACATAAGTTAACAAAATGGGCTGCGGAGATTGATATGTTTGATTTTGAATTGAAGCCAGTAAAGGGTAAGTATAACGTTGTTGCTGATGCACTAAGTCGTAGATCAGACTTTTTCGGTGTTATTGTGACTTATTTAGATGTGGGTGCTGACCTACAAGGAAGGATTAGGAATGCGTATCCCTCTGATCCTGTTTATGGAACCATGATTAAGCTAGTGTAAGAAAAGTCAGCAGAGTTTCCCGATCATAAAGTAGCTCAGGGTCTATAGTTTGAACTGATGTGAACGATAGGCTGTGTATACCCAATAATGAAGAGATCAGAAGTATGATCTTGGGGGAATGCCATGATACAGAAGGCCATTTTGGGTGGAAAAAGACCTATGGGACTTTATTGCGTTCCTACACCTGGCCTCGGATGAAAGCAGACTGTATCGCGTATGTGCAAGGTTGTCAGGTATGCCAACGAAATAAAAGCACCACGCAATTGCCCCTTGGGCTACTTAAGCCCTTGCCTATCCCTACAGGCCCTAGAGACTCTGTCTCTATAGATTTCATGGATACTAAGGTGAAAAGCAGAAGTGGGAAAACGCAAGTAATGGTCATAGTGGATAGGTTCACGAAGTATGCTGTTTTTATAGCTTTGCCTTCGGAAGCAAAGACTCATTTGGTAATTCGGGAGTTCTTTAACCATTGGGTAAAAGACTTTCCACATCCCTTAACTATCGTGAGTGACAGAGACACCAGGTTCACAAGTGAACAGTGGCAGCAACTGATGAATGTATATGGCTCTAAGTTGACTATGTCATCAGGCAGGCATCCTGAGACTAATAGCCAGACTGAGCAGATGAACAAGATTTTGCAGCAAACTCTACGCATGTACATCCGTCCCGATCAGATTGATTGGGATGAACATCTGCCTAAAGTTGCTAGTGCCTACAATAACTCTGTACACCTATCTACGTGTAAGACTCCTATGGAGTTACATCTGGGATGGCGTCCACGTGGACCCATTGATCGATTGAACCCGGATCAAGTACATAAGCTTCCTATAGGGACTAGTGAATTTGCAGTCCAGTATCAGAAAGACATTGAGAAGGTAAAAGAAAACATACTCCAAGCACAACATCAGATGATTTAACAGGCAAATAAACACAGAAGACCGTCTCAATTTGCTGTAGGAGATTTGGTTTGGGTGAAGTCTAAAGAGTTTGCTCCTGAAGAAAACATCTCTCAGAAGCTTCTACCCACCTACAGGGGACCTTGGCAAGTTCTAGATGTAATTGGAGATGTGGATGGTCCTTCATATGTCATTGAGATTCCTCCACATCTACGTACGTATCCAGTGTTCCATGCGTCCAAGCTCTTACCTTGTGTTACAAATGAGCTCTTTCCAAGTCGCCGATCAGCGATACCTCCAAGTATGGATGGGAAGTTTGACGTGGATAAAATTGTTGCAGAAAGTACTTACCACACTGGACGAAGAGGCAGACCACAACGACAATATAAGGTGAGGTTTGCATACCAGGATCCTAGTGAAGATCGTTGGTTTACAAGAGAGGAACTGTTAGATTCTGCACCTCATATTGTGTCTGCATACGAAAGCGCAAAGAGAGGGATTCATATCCTTGATAGGTAAATGATTCTCAGAGGACTTCGAAAGTAGGCCGGCGAGAGTAAAAGGGCCTTTACCCGATGTAGGCCTCTGACCTTGTAAAAGTAAAGCAGCATGGGCCTTGTAAAAGTAAAGCTGCGTGAAAGGGTATCTCGCCAGAGCTCAGAAACGTGAAAGCAGGTCRAAGGTCAAGTTCTCTATCAACAGGCACATCTAAATCTAAAGCAAAAGGCATTGTTAAAGGACTTACCTGTTCACCAGGAGATGTGCATCTGATGTCTGTTCGGGTAAGGGTGTGTCTGTACGTGCAGACAGTGTACCTGTTCGTGCAAAGGAAAATGTCTGTTCAGGCAGTAAATGTGTCTGTTYGTCYAGAGTTGTGCCTGTCCRAAAGTAAAGTCAATAGGTACAGTCCCARTTCTGGTCTAAGTCAAGGGGACAGTCCAGATCCAGACTTTGAAGTCCAAATCTAGGCCGAGAKGCCTCARCAGCAGTTGAACCTCATTGGGACTATACTGGGACACATGCAATGCAAGGTCTGGGACAAAGGAAAGGCTGAACTAAGCCAATGCARACCCAGCGAGGAGTGGCCAGCGCTATAAAGGAAGCTGCCTGCCTCATTCCTCGCCAGATCTCCACTGGCTATTTCTGCGTGGAAGTGCTGGTGCACTTGTGYRCTAAGTCAGGAGGAGCAGCGCTGGAGGATGAAGATGCGCTGAGTGAGGGAAGAAGCCTGTACGCTGGAAGTGCTGCAGCCATAGCTGCCCAGCGAGTTAGTACTAGTAGTAGAGGGTTAGTATTTAGCCATGAGTAGTATTCAGAGTAGATCCTCATGAATGAAGAGTGTGTATGCATCATAGGAGGGAGGAAGAGACTGAGACAGGGAGTGTTCATTCAAGGTTTGATTATGGAAGATACTTACCTGAGTTGGATGTGAACTGCAGAGGTGGCGCTGAAGAGTTGTGACCACATTGATGACTTGGAGACAGTCTGCAGGAGTAGCGCTGATGCCTTGGAAGTCRTATTGATGARTTGACAAGAGATTTGTGTTGCGCTGATGAGCGCTGGACTCAGGGGAACTTTGAAACACTTTGTAATCATATTTCTGATAGTATAAGCTGTGAAACTCGGTCCTTTTCTCATCCACCTTTGTCTATGACTGGAGACTATTGATCATTGTGTGTGAGGATGATGCATGACATGTACACACTTGCGTGAGATGGTCCCCAGGACCCATGCAATAACCTCTGAATCTGGTCTCGGGTTAAAGCATCAATGGGACGTTGCGGTTTCCAACCTTTACGCAGTGCATTAGGCATTCTTCATGTAACAGTATGCACACTGTTATTATATGCACTAGCAATCTTAGGTAAGTTCTCATCCCAATCTACGGCCTGCATGTGGCTCGAGGGTCACTTCAGGGCATATCAGGTGGGGTATTGCAATGCGGTCAAATACAATGTACATATGTTGTATTCAAATACAATGTACGTATGTTGTATTCAAACACAACGTACATATGTTGTATTCGAATTTTTGCAATTCTGAGTTTTCAAAAAAAAAAAAAAAAATTGAAAATTATGAAAAAAAAAATGTTGTTAAACAATGGAATACAAACGACTTTTGCGCAAGGGTCTTGTCAAAATTCGCAACCAAATTAAAAAAAAAAAAAAAAAAAAAAAAAAAAAA